ATAAACGCCCACATGTGGACGGTATAACATGATGCCTGTTTGTATAGTGCACGTGGTTGTGTCAATAAAACCAAAAACAAGACAAAACGTTAACTTCTGTAAACGAAGCTATAATACCCTTCACAAATAAAAAAGTTGCCGCACAAGAACTTTACTGTGATCGGTCATTTTATATGGCAGCTATATGCTATAGAAGTCTGATCTTAACAATTTTTGCGGAAATTGCACCAGACAATAAGCCATGCTAGATTTCTTGAAGATATATCTTCAAATGTAAAGGTTGTCTATACGAGCACTTGATTCCGATCGTTCAGTCTGTGCGGCAGCTATATGCTATAGTGATCCGATATCGGCAGTCTCTACAAATAAGCAGCTGTTTGCGGAGAAAAGGATGTATTCAAAATTGCATACCGATATCTCATAAACTAAGGCAATAGTTTGCGTACAGACATGCCTAAATCGACTCAGCACGTCACGCTGAGCATTTATCATACATATTTTATCGGTACCTCAACGTTTCGTTCCTGATTTTACAGTTCGTGGTCAACGCTGTTCAGGGTATAAATAATCGAAACAACCACCCCATCAATTTAACGGTTCAAGCGTCTGTCTAGCGTTTATTCAAGCGCAACGTTCAATGAAGCATACTTTTTGGCTCAGTGGCAGCTTAATACAATAAATAAACAAACGGGTTTCCAATGTATGTGTATATGAACAAAATGTTGTCAAATATATATGTGTTAGTAAAAATATGGTACATCTCCAACTGTAGTATGCTATAGCAAATTATGTCCGCTCTATGCTCTAGCAACATGTTGCTATAGAGTTGGTTCGATTATTAAAATGCTAGTGTTCTTCACGGCGAATATAACATATCGGTCAAATTGTGAGTTATCTTAGTAAAATTGCGTAAAAACATGCTTTTGAGTGAGCTTTAGTTTAATGCTAACGGCAAATGCAAACAGTTCAGATCTTTCCCTAACCCACATATACCCATATAATGATTTTCGAACATCCGGTTGATTTTTTATCGCACATATTGGCAATAATGTGTGATACTTAATAAAATGAAGTGAACATGTTTCTTCGACCACAAAACGATTTAACGTCAAAAATTAATTAAAGCTGTCTAGATCATGCTTTTGCCCTCAAATACCTAATTTCAAGCATTATGAGTGTTATACCAAAATAAAGAGCTTGGAAACTAAAATCTAAATTTTCCACTTTCAAAAGAAGAAAAAGGTTATAGGCATGTATGGCAGACATTTGTATTGGTAATCGAATTCAGTATAAATGTGGCGAGTTACTAATTTTTTCGCAAACAATTTATATACAAACCGCAAACTGGTTTTACTTTTCTTCAAAAATATTTTCCAACAAAAATTAAAGCTTACAAATACCCCGCATAAAAAGGATCAATTTTATTTTACGTGCGTGAATATTGCAGCAGTAGAAAGCTTAGTTCTCTTAAACGTATTTACACTGTGAAAAGTTGTGCTTGTGGAGTTACAGTTACCTACCAGTTACCTACCGGTGAAAACTACACTTATGAACTAAAAATATTATATTATGTGTAGTATGCTTGATCTCCTTGTTTAAATTGTTTGTAAAGAATTGCGATTTACGCATATGAAAATAGTTATTTTTAAAGGACTATAGCTATGAATATACATACATCGTCTACCAATAGGGATGAAGTAATTTTGACCGCTCGTTGCGGCCATTAAAAATTGATTATAAAATCCACGATAGTGTGCCATCTTCCTGTCAAAGAAAAGCCGGTAGTGAAGAAAATATCGCTGTTGTTCAGACTAGTGTTGGAGCCAATCCGAATCAATTCGATTTTCATTAAAAATTCAACTTCTTAAGTGAGGCCTATTTCTGGCTTAATGGTTTCATCAACAAAAAAAATTGTGGATAAAATCAAAATATTATTTTCTCTGCGGGTATATTAAATTCAGAGAGCAGCACTCGAGCAGCTCGAAGACAACATGCAGCGCGCGGTCATCAAAAATTTACGCAAACGGCTGGAGATATGCAAACGGAGCCGTGGTGGCCATTTGGCCAACATTTTGTTCAAATCATATATGGTACAAAATTATCTGCATAATAAAATAAAGAACAGACCCCAGTTTGACCAAATTAGAGTTTTATTTCATTTTAACTATAATTGCTTATTCAAGTGTAAGGAACATTGATGAAATACAATAAATACGCTGCAGTGAAGCGGAAATACTATAGGAAATAAAAAATCCACTCTTAAATCCAACTAGTTATAAAAACTGTAATTCATTTGTCAATTTTTTCAAACTAGCATTTAACTGATATATTTCTGAACAGAATTTGACAGTTGGCGTTTTGTACGTTATCACCAGATAAAAACATATCTGTCAGCTGATAAGTTTGCTACTAAACTACTCATTAGCATTTCTATGGAAAGAGAGCACATTTGAAGAGGTGAAACTTTTGAATAGTAGTTTTGAGTTTCTACTTTAAGTTAAGTTTAGTTAACACAATGAAAACTTGTACAATCACAACTTAAGGTACTAAGGTGACAAACAAAAAAATAATATTTTACGTACATAAAAATGAAATTCACTAGGCACTATAACGTATAAACCTAGCCTCAATGTACGTCTAAACGTACTTTAAAAATACTTGGAAATATTAAAAATTTAATCTAATACTTAATTATAGCACTAATTTATTTAATCACTATTTAAAATATTTAACTTTAATCCAAACCATATGTTTGTACACACATAACTCATAAGCACTAGAAATTCCCAGCACAGCAGCTAACTTTTAATCAACTTAACTTCCTCGCAACACAGCAGCACACACACGCCACATTAAACTCAAACTTTTGAGCTTCTAACTCATTTGCTCTCCTTTGTTTTGAACGTCGCTACAAATTTTCCACTCGTTTACAAATATTATTCCTTTAACGTTGATAATTTCAACTTCTAAGGATTATGTTTTTACCATAAATATCGTGACTGAGAGCCACACGTGTATGATAATATTTTTATATATGCATAAAAATGAGGTGTGTGCAAAACATAACGGGAATTTTCGATTTTTGAAAAATATATTTACTGCTTCGTCTAGATTAATGTTGTCGCCTTCAAAATAGTCTCCATTAGATATTATGCCAGCTTCTACTTCCAATCGTCGAAACACTACTACAACTCCATTTTTGGAACAGCCTTAAGCTCTTTCAGCGTTTTTCATCTATCTTGTAAAACGACCGCCTTTTTTTTCTTTATTTATGAAAATAGGAAAAAGTCTCACGGAACTATGTATTTACGAACAAGCAACGAAGTGTGAGCTTTTAACAAACGAAAATCGCCAACATCATAAAAACACGTCTAACTATAGCGGTTGCTTCAGACAAAGTAAGCAATGAGTACAGTTGGAAATTTTATCGTGCTTCAGAGGCATGTATAACATATCAACATAATAAAAATTTTGCCAATTAGACTCTCGATATAATATATGTATATGTATGAGTTTATGATTATGATATTAACATAAAACGTAACCAAAGTCGAAGAATTATACTCAATGAATCCGCGACAGGAAAACGAGAAACCACCTTTTCTGGTGCATAAAGAAAACGGAAAACATGTCTGACCTATCGGTTTTAGCAACTTACAACACAGTACAGTAATTTTCTAACAGTGTTAAAAAACATGTTGTTATATTATATTAAATCTAGAGTCTACTATGCTTTTTATAACCTCAAAAAAATTTCGAAGAACATTTAAAGCGGTAGAACAACTTAATATTGCTTCGTATCCAACTTGATGTTATTGTAGCTGTAGTTTATCATTTATAAGCATATGTAGTTTAGAGATTTCATATAGAACGGCGAGAACTTAGAACACAGGGAAACTAAGAGCTATTATCTGAAAGCACAATTATATATGCTCGCTTCTTAATTAAAAAGTAACTTCAGAAACATTCAAATAAATATAAAAAAAAGTTATTAGAGCCATGAAACAGAGTGTTTTCCTTAGTAGAATAATCCTTCCCTTTTTGCTCCTAATGGCAACTCTGTCCAACCAAAGACACAAATAATTGCTAGCTCTGATATTTGCAATGCAAACGGCCGCGAGTTAATACTAAGCGGACGCCTAGCTAACAAGTTTCTTTTAATGTGTGTTATTTGTAAGTAAGAAGTGTGTACAAATGCAATATTTTTTTTACAAAAAAGTGAAAAGAAATTCGTTGAAATAGCTTAATTATTAAATGTTATACAGAAGGTTATCTTAAGTCGATAACTTCAATTGTGCGTAAAGTAGATTCCTCTAAACTTGTAAAGCGTGTCTCCAACTCGAATAGGTAAATGTTCTCAAACGTGTCTGACATCGTAAATATCATACAAAGATATTAATTATGGTTTTGTGTACTTGCAAATATTTAAAATAGTAAAATGTGCAAAGCTGGATTTTTTGCTTACAGAAGCTTCACTATAATAAAAATTCGAAGCTAAAACCTGGCCAAGGCTACAAACTAGCGCAAACGATTTCTATATGGAATTATTTACACTCTGAATCAGATATTCGAAGAGCAACAAGTACAAGTGATAGTACAACAGTGTGTATACACATACATACATATGTTCCATAGGCATTCTTTGACATAAATCGCAGAAATTACAGTCAGTGATATAAATATATTTACAAAACAGCATATGTATATGTACATTCCAACTCGTATTATTTACATTTCTTGAATATTAGTTAAGACATTCTTTGTGCTTATTGCACGAGCAGTAAAAACCAGCTGTACGGCGCCATTCTGGAAAATTAAATTGGAAAGCGAAGACTACCAGCTGTTGGAGTAATATTTTTTTTTTAATAAATATATATCTTTGCATATGGGTTCTTGTTAGAACGCTTTAATATACCAGAGAATAATACTTTCGTTTGAAATAATATTTTATAAGCAATAAACATATATATAACCGATAAAAAATGCATATATATAAGAACATATTAAATGAATTGCCATCAGATTTATGTTGAGCTGCAATAATTGAAGACTGGAGTCGAACGATCCGTATGTTGGAGAGTAAAAAGGTGCGAGCTTTGGTATAAGCCGTTGCGACTTTTAGACTTTTAGTTTTTTGTGATATACTATCGATACATGATAAAATAATCATCTATATTAAGGCGAAGCACCTCAAACGAGCCAGATTTATATCTAATCAGGAACTAACAAAACAAATATAACTTGAAAAGAAATATGTATTTAAAAGTGACATATGGAACTAATGCAGGAACCGTTTGTTAGGAACCAAGTCATAAGCCATACTTCATTCCTTAGCAAATTATCAAAAGTAGAATAATAGAAGCCAAATATACGGACTTCTTAATAAAATATAATGATCACAACGGCCCATAATTGATCAATACCGGTATTTATCGATAGAAAGATTATAATTGAACCGGAAAGCTTAAGTCAACAACTAGCGGACTGGGGTAAACAGAAAGTAAGTAACGGCTTTCAAAGCAAAAATAAAGCAATAGACCAACCTAGCCTAAAAAAAAATTGGAAACACCGAGCAAGAGCATTACATTTTTCCTATCAACTCAATAGTAGGGCAACCATACTCGTATATTCAAGATCGATCTATACAACGGACACACTGTAATTTTCCCAAACTATTTAGTTGAAAAATGAAAAGGCAAGACACACGCTTATATATGTACATAGTACATAGCACAATTTTTTTTGTACGTTTCTCAAGCGTGATATTGAAACTATATAAGAAACAAGATTACTCTAAAATTAAAAATTCCTAAATCTTATGTCAATAAAATACAAAAATTTTTTATTTCCAGTTTACCTGAGCTACGAGTATCTTCTTTAAATTCGAGCTATGTTTCGTCTATGCTTCATTGTCTTGGGAATAATTGCGCTTGCGTCGGCTGTTAATTTATTTTGTACACTAAAATGTTTAAAATTTGGAGCGCAACATGGCGCTTGTATGAACCCGAATGGAGTAAGTGCTTGCTGTGCTCACAAATTATTGAGATTAAAAAAAAAATATTATTATTTCAGAGATTAAACGGAGATTGTCCACCAACGACTAGAATACTCAACATGAATATGCATGGCTATAAGAAATTCTTACTAAACAAGCATAACCAATTGCGTAATACAATTGCTGGTGGAGGCATAGGTAATCTGCCGAAGGCGAATAAAATGGGCGAAGTCTTTTGGGATCGCCAATTGGGGTTTTTATCGGTTTTTAGTAGCAAACGTTGCAGACTTAGCGATCCGTATTGCTATCGCACTAGCTTACTGCCGAATCCGGGACGAGTTGCCAAAACATTTCAATTCAATAACAAAAGTGAAGTCAATCCAACAAATGTGAAGTTGAAAATTGGCGAATGGTTTAAGGAAATCAATGAAATGGCAAACACATTCAAGGATATATTTCCACCGCATGCGGAGTGAGTAACACAAAATCATTGGTTTTTTTATAGACTTCAAATTGTATCTAATTTTTCTTTAATTTTATAGAAAAGTTTTAAATGTCGCACACATTATTGAAGCGGCAAATAATCGCCTTGGTTGCTCCATGTCGCAATGGAAGAGTAAAGATGCCACTGAAACGCTAATATTGGTTTGCCTCTATGCAAGCGATTTGAAAAACAATTTACCACTATATTCTGTGGGCCCAACAGCCAGTAAATGTCTATCAAAAAGAAGCATTTTATATAGAAATCTATGCAGTATTAATGAGGATTATGATTACGCTGAAGGCCTACCGCAGTTTATAAAATCTAATGCAAAAGTGCCTTTATATAGTAGATAGAGATCTATTCATAATGGATAAATAAAACAAGATTCAATAGTCATGTTCGTTACGCCACTTCTCTGTTTGCTAAGTTTAAGCTGTGCTGTGAAAGTGAACCAGTTGAAAACAAAAAATTACATGAATAATACATTATAGTAGTATAACTGTTCTTTATTTGATTTTTATTTGATTTATGCCAGAGTTGTTTGTTCGATTCTCGATTCGATTTTGGTAATAAATATCATTAATTTCTTTTAATTACTTCTGGAATACGAGTATTGGTTTGAATATATCTGCTTTCTTAAATTTCGTACTCGGTTATATTAGTTGGGGAAAATTGCAACCTATTTCTTGTGAAGTTTTTGGACCACTCGATGAATAATATTGAGCTGATTCAACTACTATTGTGGCTTGAGTAGATACATAAAAAACAAAAATCAATGAAAAAAATAAAAAAATTCAACACGCCCTTGAGCCAGTAATTTTTTATGGAACACGATCAATTCTATTAATCGCAACACCTATCTATTGATCTTTCAAATATCTTCAAATTTTGTAGAGAGGCAAGAAAGGATCAGGTGCCAGGAATAGCAGTATCGTAGCAAAGGATATTGTTTTATATCTCTTTCATTCCAAATAACTCTTATTAGAATTAATCATGCCGCATATATGAGTACAGATATACGAGCAAGAAGTATGGAGCAAAAAGCTGCCGAAGACTACGCTTAGATTGAATCAACGCGGTGTAAATTTTAAACAATAGGTGGCGCTAGAAGCGAGCTATGTTGAAAAGTCAAATATAATCGACGATTTAGCTTATATTTGAAATATATCACTTGAGTTAGAGAGAATTTCTACAAGAAACGATTTCCGTAAATTAAAAGTGACTTAAATGCGCTTATACTCAAGTCTAGTTTCACAGAAATTTCACCACAACCACATAACTATTTGTTTCAAATTCTAAATATGACTTATGTATATATATACAATGGTCCCTCTAACTGCAGCTGTTTAAGTGTATGTAACGTTACCGGAATTCAAGGAATTTAAAATTGCTTTTGTAAATATAAAAAAAATAATAAAGAAACACATTTTAATTAAAATATTATTTCATTTATACACAACTGAAGGAATCTTAAAAGCTTAAGTGAGTTTAGTTTAAATTTGGCTGAGCCAACAAACGTTACAAAGATTACATTTTCTGCAATACTGGTACTCCTTGCTTCATTCAAAATCATATACAATAATTTATTTTTTTTACAAAATTTGCGGAGAATAAAACTTATTGAAATGAATATCTTAGCAATTCTTATTTTAACTATACTAATGATGGCATCTGAAGCTATTCCTAATAACGTCTCTAATTATTGCATACTTGGTTGTGAGAACCCCAAAAAGAGGCATGCTGTTTGCGCTAATAGAAAGCAGGTGAAATATAAATGCAGTATGTACTTATGATTATATTAATAATAATAATATGGTATATCTTTTAAGAAACTAATCGAGAATTGTCCACCTGGTACAAAGATTATGCCATTAGACGATATACAAGCCGTCATATTAAAATTGCACAATGAACGGCGTGAATTTGTGGCAAGCGGCAGAGATGAAACGTTACCACCCGCTGCACGTATGGGTGAATTATTTTGGGATGACGAATTGGCCGACTTAGCTGAATATAGTGTAAGACGTTGCCTTATAAGTGATCCACAATGCTACACTACACCAACATTGCCCAATCCGGGACGTAGTGCAAATATTTATAAATACGAGAAAACAGAAGTGCCATTCGAGGAGTTAGTGCCGTCACGCGTAGTTGAATGGCTGGAAACATCGAGAGAGTGTACAGTGGAAATTGCAGCGAACTTTCCAGAGAACCCACAAGGGTGAGTACTTATTATTATATATATTAAGGCAATTAGTATATCTGTTAACATAAGCGGTGCTTTTACTCCTCACGTGAGCCTTTAATATATACTATAATTCAGATCCTTACTTGTTTTATGCTAGGATATACAAATACTTCTTTCTTTTCAGACATGTTGACTTCTTCGGTCGTGCCATTGCGGATAGCAATAATCAAGTCGGCTGCGCCGCATCGGAATGGGTGAAGGAATCAAATAAATATTTTCTATTAGTTTGTCTCTACACGAATGATGTGCGACCGGGCAAGCGTTTATATAAATTTGGTCGACCTGGCTCGAGGTGCTTAACTGGATACAGTAGCCAGTACACAAATTTATGCAGCATCATGGAAAACTACAATATCACTGATGCAAGGAACGAACGTAGAGGACTTTCAGTCTTTAATCCGAGTTACAAAAATGAAGAAGATTACAATGCACCCGAGGGCAGCCTTTGGCAGTTAGTACTTTGAAAAGAAACCAGAACACAATTTAATTATATACTTTATTTTTATATATGTAGTATGTCTCGACTACTATAACAAAAAATATCGCTAAGCCTTTATTGGGGAGGGCTAAGTTAATTATCTGACACTTAAGAATCGAAACTTATCAAACTCAAGCACAGAAAATACAAAAGTTATTACGCCAGAGTTGCTATTCCAAAAAATCAATGTACTTATGAACATATGTAACAACTGTAATACTTTCTAACTTCAATATATACTGCGTAAGGCAACACAGCGAATGCCTCAAACAAGAGAAGATTAAAATTATCTTCATTTTGATATCGGCACTCTCAGTTCGATAGTTTCTTAAGCAGAAAACGCACATATATTTTAAGCTATATACAAATAGGAAGGGTTAGAAGCTACTAGAAGACCTAAAGCGATGACGTTCTGGCAAATTATAAGAAAACTGTTTTAGCTGCATTGAGAGCACTGAAAAATATTATATTTCATTGATGGTTTGGATACAACGAACTGAGAGTGCCGTTTTTAGCACTAGTGACTATCTAAACGTTATCGGACCACACTTTTAACTTCCATTTATTTATTGATAATACCATACGAGAAAATTTTAAGAAACTCAAAGTAGAACTTTATGACAAATAGTGCTGCTTCCGTTAGCCTAGAATATGCGTATATTAATTGATATGCGAACGCGTGGAAGATGAAAGGATTGAGTAAAAAAAAATTTATAGAATTTTGTGTACAACGACTCGCAATATGAATGAAAAAGCAGCATTTCCTCGAACGATTCCCATTCAACCACGCTTTTCATCTTTACACAAATATGAACACAACGATTGATGACGCTGAAGTGTAACATGTTGAAATATTAAGTTCACTTGACGATTCTTCAGAAATGGCTGGTGCCGGCAATATGTGAGTTCATCAGTCTAAAAAATGGCTATTAGCTTATGACTCAGTAGGGCTGGTGCTTCATTTTATTATAATAATAATTTATCATACAAGCAAAAAATCTGATTAAGAATTCAGCATAGTGTGACGTGCACCCTAACCCTGCAAACGCAGCTGCTTAAAGGTATGTCGCTAAGTAGAAATCAAGACATTTACTACAAAATAATAAAGAAACATATTTTAATTAAAATATTCTTTCGCTTATACACAACCCAAGTAATCTTTAAAGCTTGAGTGAGTTCAGTTTAAATTTTGCTGGGCCAACGGACGCTGCACAAAGTGCTTCTTTTGAGTAAAGTATATAAACATTATTAGTAAGCTTGCGGAAAAAAAAATCTTATAATGAATACTTTAAGCAATGTTATCTTAGCTTTACTAATAATCGCATCTGAAACTGCTTCAAAAACTCACACTGATTATTGCAAACTCGGTTGTGCCAATTCTAACACGGAGCATGCTGTTTGCGCTAATCATGATAAGGTGAGTACGAAGCGCATCCAAATGGTTTAAATTCACTAACAAATTATTATTGCTTCTTTTAAGACACTTATTGAGAATTGTCCACCTGATACCAAAATCATGTCATTAAATGATATACAATCTGTCATATTAAAATTGCACAATGAACGGCGTGAATTTGTGGCAAGCGGCAAAGATGAAACGTTACCACCCGCTGCACGTATGGGTGAATTATTTTGGGACGAAGAATTGGCCGACTTAGCTGAATATAGTGTAAGACGTTGTCTTATAAGTGATCCACAATGCTACACTACGCCAACATTGCCCAATCCGGGACGTAGTGCAAATATTTATAAATACGAGAAAACAGAAGTGCCATTCGAGGAGTTAGTGCCGTCACGCGTAGTTGAATGGCTGGAAACATCGAAGGCGTGTACGTCTGAAATGGTTGCGAAATTTCCAGAGAATCCACAAGGGTGGGTACTTATTATATTTACTAAGTAGATAGACATAATATATATAACTGCGACCATTGCATTTTTCATCTACGTACATATGCATGACACTTTTTTGTTTCCAGGCATGTCGACTTCTTCGGTCGTGCCATAACGGATAGTAATAATCAAGTTGGTTGTGCAGCATCGGAATGGGTGAAGGAATCAAATAAATATTTTCTATTAGTTTGTCTCTACACGAATGATGTGCAACCGGCTAAAGGTTTATATAAAGTTGGTCGACCTGCCTCGAACTGCTTATCGGGGTCGAGTAGTCAGTTTACAAATTTATGCAGCAGCAAAGAAAACTACAAGGTTGCTAATTCAATGCACGAACGTAGAAGAGTTTCGGGCACTTATTCCAATCACAAATATGGCACAGATTACAATGCACCCGAAGGAAGTCTTTGGCAGTTAGTGATGTGAAAAGAAAGCTTAAAGATTAAGTAATATATTAGATATAGAATGAATTATATATTTTATGCATGAACTTGTATTTAATTTCATAAAATATATCTGTAAGCCACTTTGCTGACACTTTAAGGCTTTCTTACTTCAAGATACACCACCTAAGACAACAAAGTTTACATTACATAAGTTAGCAGATCAAAATGATCTTCATTTTGAAATGGGTGTTCTCAGATTATATTTTTTCTTCAGAAAACCGTAAATAATTTGGTAATTTATTCTTCAGACATGACATTAAACTTACCAACATGTCCGATAAATGCTGAGGCTGTCTTCTGATATGAAATAATCTGCCTCCAAAACGTTAATAAAAAAGTGTGCTTATACTTTTCGTATTCTACTCATGGCATATGGATCCGTTGATCTGTTTGATATTGCAATAGAAAAAGCAAATTTGTAGACAGCAAACTTTAACTTAACTAAATTGGTCCATAACGTCGCCGAAGCCATATAAAGCGTATATATTTCTTTTTACCCGTCGTGAAACTCTATCCAGAATATCTAGAACTTAATACGATATACCCTCATATACTAAGTAAACAGTTTACTCTTAAGATATAAGCATAGAAAATAAATATTTCAAAATATCATCAATCCGCATAGAGCAAAGATCTCACCCCTGATTTTTGCCAACTCCGTCACATACTATATTTTGTATTTTTTTGTGAACTATTCGAAATATTTAAGACTATAAGAATTATACTATAAAGTTCCATCTTAACTTTGTTTTTACTCCAATAATTTTGTTCTCACAAATACCCGTAATGTGAATGAGAAAACAAAATCTAGTCGTAATTATGTGCGCAGCGATAGATGGCGCTGAAGTTGCATACTCCATAAAAATCTAGTATACTCAACGATTAGGTTTTATTCGAGATATACAATAATTTCTTGGTTTTTGAAGGATTTCTTACTTATTTAGTAGTTTTTGCTTTGAATTTAGTGATTCTTGAAAGCACCCTGTAAACGCAGCTGCTTCAAAGTTATCAAGAAGTGTAACTCAATACATTTAATACGTTTTTGTTGTAAAACACAAAACAATAAAGAAACATACAATTTGATTTGATTTATGCACAACAGTACAGTGCAGTGAGCTTAACAAGCTTGAGTGCAGTTTACATTTGACTAAGCCAGCGAGCGCTTGACAAATTATAAAATATACAAATTTTTAAAATGAATTTGTTGGAATTTCTAATTTTAAATATACTACTGATGGCATCTGCAGCTGCTTTCAGAACTGACATCGATTATTGCAAACTCGGTTGTGCGAAGCCCAAGATGAAGCATGCTATTTGCGCTAATCCCGATAAGGTGAGAAGGAAATGTGCAAAATAGATTCTTAATTTACTTATTAAGATTTATAATTTCTTTTAAGAAACTAATTGCGAATTGCCCAAAAGACACTAAAATCTTATCATTAGATGCCATGCGAAATATCATATTACAACTGCACAATGAACGGCGTGAATTTGTGGCGACCGGCAGGGAAGAATTCCTACCGCCCGCTGCACGTATGGGTGAACTATTTTGGGACGAAGAATTGGCCGACTTAGCTGAATATAGTGTAAGACGCTGTCTCATAAGCGATCCGAACTGCTATACTACGCCAACATTACCCAATCCGGGACGTAGTGCAAATATTTATAAGTACGAGAAAACTGAAGTGCCATTCGAGGAGTTAGTGTCTTCACGCGTAGTTAATTGGCTGGATACATCGATGGAGTGTACAGCGGAAATAGCAGCTAACTTTCCAGAAAATACGCCAGGGTAGGTACTTTTTATATAATACAGTAAGGATGTTAGACACCTTCTTTGACTTTTATTCAGTCAATTACTTTTAGTGTAATTTTGTTTAAAGAGTTCGAAACTTCCTTCGAAAAAATTCTCTAAGATACATCCCGAATCTAAATAGTACGTCCCCTTTCATATATAACAAAGAGGCCAAGTTTTTTCAATTCGTATAATTGATTTTTGATCGTGTCTAATCAGTAGTTTAAAGTGGCGCATATTATCGAGATTTTTTTGTATCGAAGACACGAACCGAGGAATTTATAACTATTTTTATAATTTTTTTTTCAGACATGTTGACTTCTTCGGTCGTGCCATAACGGATAGCAATAATCAAGTGGGTTGTGCGGCATCGGAATGGGTGAAGGAATCAAAAAAATATTTTCTATTAGTTTGTCTTTATACGAATGATGTGCAAGCAGGTAAGCGTTTATACAAATTTGGTCGCCCAGCCTCGAGATGCCTGTCGGGATCCAGTAGTCTGTACAAAAATCTATGCAGTACCCAGGAAGACTACAAGATCGCGGATGTAGTGCATGCGCATAGAAAGCTTTCGGACTTTAGCTTCTATTACAAAAATGTCACAGACTACCATGCACCCGAAGGAAGTCTTTGGCAGTTAGTGATTTGAATATACGAATATATATTAGAACCCTAAACAATATGTAGGCGTTGTAGGAGAATTTCAATCGTTCTTTATATTTTTATTCGAATCTTGCATATACGTTAAGCATATAGAAACATGGAAATGTATTGGATTTTAAATAAAGTGATCGTAGAACTTGACGCAGAATACGTAAGTGGATTTCAACTATGCTTACTTAGCAACTAATATCGATATAACAAGCTACTTATGGCTGTATTCGAGATATTTACAGATTGGAATTGGATCATAAAGATTTAAGGTGTCTTCGCAATATGTTTATGCAATATTTTTTTATCCAAATATTTAGAAATTTCAACTGTAACTGCGAAATTTACCGTTAGTGTGATAAAAAGCCTACTAAATACAGATCCGCTTGGTGGCGCTGAGTTCAAGGTATTGAAAATTACCATACTAATAATAATTATGGTCTGATTCCATTTTTTTATTTGCTAAATATGGTGTGGCAACACTGCCAGCAAAGTAAATACTCCCCCCAAATATAATATCAAAAAATATATCAAAAATAAAAGGTTGCCGGGTGACAGAACTGTTAAGAGCATTCTGCAACGCTTCAAAGCGCACATTTCCATTTATAAAAGCTTTGGACATTAACTATTTGATTAAATATGTACATAACTAAATACATAACTAAATCACAACATCCTTAAAGGTCGTGAACTTGAACCTTTCGTCGTACAAAGAAGACGCGCGAACATGGAGAAGCGCCAACGAAACATTTAATGCCTTAAAGTATGCAACATTTATGTTAAACTGCTTAGACTAGAAAAACCTTGTTGATGCTGCTTATAGTATTATATATTCGTATATACACGTACTTAGTAAAGAAACCCATTGAAAAAGAATAATGAAAGAAAAATCAGGCTGCTGAAGCGCAAAAGTTTAATGGAACGGCGGAGGGAGCGTATACCAGCTAGCAATTTAACAACATAGCGCGCATTGACACAATCTTATATGTATGTATAGCTGAATATATAAATAAGTACGTAATACACATTTATTGTTGTAGAAAAAATTCAATAACTATACTAACAACTGTCTACGGGCACAAACCAATATTTTCAGTTGAACATACTTTTGAATATGTTTGAGTGTGTGTGTGTGTGTGTGTGTGTGGGTATGCCGGGGATAAAATCGATTGTATTTGAAATTGACATAGTGAGAAAATCATAAGCTAGCGCAACAATAATAATTCCCACAGATGGCAATATGCGTTAAGTGTATGAAAATCATTTGCAGAATTTTGACGCAATGCTGCTGCAGCTGCATACCGCTTAACTCATTCGAGGCTTAAGCAGGCAGCAAAGCGTGAAGGGAAAAGCAAGATGGGAAGGTATGGTTTATTGTGTTTATAGCTTAGGAATTGCATTAAAATGCATGGTTGAATGCTCTTAGCTTGATTAAGTCATATGTGAGACTGAATAGAGGCATGGAAAGTAATTTGCTGCAGATTTTATTGTCTAAATATTTAAGATTTTTTACAATTAAGTGAATGTATTATACAGAGCAGCAGAAAAATTGCTATTAAAATAAGAAAATTGTTTTAGTATCTAGCATCTTTAAATTTTTTTGTTTTGTTTTTTGTTACTCACTAATGGCAATACATGCCAGCACTAGGTCCAATTTAAGCAATTATAAAGTCAAGTTTAAAAAATGAACAGATAATTTTTTGCTAACATTGTTTACGATAATAATATTAAATGACTCAAATGTGACCTAAGTAAAGGGGTTAAGCCAATATAGAACTCTCAATAGGGCAATTTATTCTAGGAGTATGAAAAAATAATCGAATATCTCTTTCACACTTTTTGAGTATAAATAAATTGTATATGAAGATTATGTTACACAAATTTTTTAAGAGTGTTTCGACTAGCGAAGATGTTACTAGGAACTATCGCTGTCTAAAACTAAATAATATAAGAATAAACTCTAACTTCGGTTGCACCCAACCTAGAATACATTTAACAAATAAAAAAAAAGTCTTCCATATAAGAACTTGATTTTGATCGGTCGATTTGTATGACAGCAACATGTTATAGCGGGCCGATCTGGATCATTTTCTCAGAGATTGGCCTTGTCTTGTGCAAAAATGTGTGGCAAATAATAGAGTAAAGATAACAATTTGTACGGAGAATATAACGTTGCCTTGGACAATAAGTCGTGCCAAATTTCATGAAGATATCTTGTTAAATAAAAAAGTTATCCTTACAAGGACCTGATATTAATCAGTTTGCAACTATTTCCTATAGTGGTTCGATATCGGTCGTTCCGACAAAGAGCAGCTTTCTGTTGAGCTTTCTCAAAAACTAATTGACTAGATCGTTTATATACAGACGGACAGATAGGCGGACATGAAATATATGAAGTAACATGTGCAGAGTAGAAAGAATAGTAAATGCTTTGGAAGCTGACAAATAGCAGGGTCTCTACCACATACATATAAGCGGTTTAAATTACAGCACGAATACAATTTCAACAGCTAAATCGATGATAAGCTAAAGCTTTGCATAAATAAAATTGTATAAAATGTATCTTATATACAGTAAATATATTGCAGTGATTGAAAATAAAACAACAACAAAACAATGGAATAAAAAATTGGAAATCATACAAAAATTTAGCACGTGCGCAGTTAACGCATTTGCCGAACACGTCGCAGCTTTCATTGTGGTATTTCGACAAGTGTTTTTTGATAAACTTGTGCATGTATGTGTGGATTATTGCACTGTTATCGCAGAAATTCAACTACAGCGCCAATCAAGGTACGTCACTCATACGCCAAGGCCTGTCAGGAGCATATTGACATTTCGTTTGTATATGTTCACGCGGTGTCGATCAAAATATAGCGCAGCGAATTTGGGTACTAACACACGGGAAGATTACTAGCAAAGAAACGTAAAAAAACAACAACAACTGATAGCAATAGATGACATTAAGCTGTAAGTGAATAACATTTCAGTATTGTATGACGCCTCACGTATAGACGTATTTAAAGGAAAATAGATATTATACTAATTGTATATGCCTTTCAGATCGTTAATAATTTGTTTTTAAAGAAAAAAATAATAGCAGCAGAAAATAAATTAATCAATTCATAAGCAACAGTCAGTGTTCAAATAAAATATAAAGAAATTAAATATATATATGGAAATCACTAAAAAATACAATTTTTACCTAAATTAAGCCTTTTAAATCTCACGGTTTGAACAACTCCTGACCTGACTTGAAGTAGAAATGAAAAAACTTAAGTGAACAATTAGGCTTAACTGCCCACTTAAGGGCGCCTAAAAGCATGCTAAATCGAGCGTAAAACGTAACAGCGTTCTTATTACTGACAGCAACGCAATTAAATTAATCCGTAATGCGACAACTTTAGGCAAACGGAGACAGAAAGAAATATATTTACATTAAATACTTGTATACTAAAGCTACAAAAAATGTACATAATTGATGTTGCCACATTTCAATTGCTAAATATTCTTATACACTGTACTATATTTTAAATTTTCTATTGATTTTATTAGAAACGGAAAATGTGAATAAATTCTGCAATATTATTTAACTGTATTCCAAGGGGTGAATATGCAGCCAGTTTCAAGATTAGTGTTAATTAATCGCTTAAATCAATTATTCTGGTATTAAGCCGTGATATATTTTATATATTTTTAACAAAAGTGCTTTCCATTAACGTTAAAAAATTATCACTAATTAATGAATTTTGTCCATTTGAAAATTATTTCAAGTAACTAGTTCGTAATCTTTTTACCGTAACGTTTTTGAACCAGTTTAATTATGGTTTTAAGAGAAATTCAATTTTAGAAGGACTCAGATTATTATGATTGAATTCCTACAACGAAATGCTGGCCTTCTATTATAAAGAATATGCTCACAGAGTCACTCAATTCAGAAAAAAATACACAAAAGTGTCAACTATCTAACTTCAAAACATTTTTTAGGGCAAAATATATGCATTAATATCGTTCTGAATTTACTAACTTGCGTAAGCAAGTAACTAGTGCTGGATGGGTGAGTTCTGAAATTAGTTTTAAAGTTTCTAACTTCGTGACAGTTATTTAAGAAGTGGTTCAAAAACTATATACATTGAAAAAATCGTGGTTAATAAGCCAAGCTTGGGACTTGTGCGTACATCTTCTTTTAGAATTTTTCGTTTCAACTTCGTATGCAAAAGTAAAAAAAAAAACCCAAACGCCGATATGATTTCGTAGCAGTAATATTCCATTCGGAATAACTAGTTCGCAAGTAGCAATCGATGAAGTAGTCAGGAAACATGTGTAAACTAACAAGTTGTGAACTAGTACTGAAAAGAGTTTCTAATAATGCTAAACTAGTTTTTATGTAAGAATTGTATATGCAGAAGTAAGAATATAAAACCCACAGAGCAATTAGTAGTGAAAATAACTAGTTTCGAACTAGTATAAGCATTAGAAATATGGATCGTTTTTGGGAAGCTCAACCTCTGCAAATATTGCTATTCATTTTACCTCCAGCATACACTAAAACTTAGATATCACTTAATCCTACAACATATGCAAACTTGTGAAAATAACCTCAAATACAGATTTCACCTATTGAAGCTTAAACTCAAATGACCGCAGACAACTAATCTATGATTTACATCACTCTAACCAACGCTGGACAGATTCACGATTGGATTATATTGCGTGACAGACGTTGGATGTGTGGTATACATATTCTCGGAAAACGCTAAATGTGCTTGCCATATTATGTTTTGTTTTCATCAACACCGTTTTCGCAGCTCTTTTGTATTCTCTCTCGCAAACACTACACACTGTACTACTCGTTATGTCTGATTCTATTTTTATCTTGGCGTAAATTTCTTTCTGTCTTCTCTTGCAGCGCTTATCAAAAAGCTGTAAGTTACATTAGGCGCTGCTATGAGTATGCCCATTGCTCACTTTGTGGGGCGTTTTCAACACCATTTCCAACGCCAACGACTAGTCGCACAAATCATAGCTGCTTATTAGCGTTGTTGTTGTTATTTATATATGTTTTTCGTTTTTGTTGGGGATAATGGCTATTTGAGCGTTAGTTGAGAAAATGCGTCGTTGATAGCAGTTACCATACAAGGACGTAAGCGTAGATTTAGCAA